TTGTATTTGTATCCATTTTAAAAGATTGGGGGTGCGACTGGGTAGGGGATTTATTACAACGCATATCCTCAGATAAAGTAAAGTAAATTATACCAGTTACATTCCAACTTGATATACATGATCTTCTATAAACACGACATTATACATTATACCTCCTGTACCTACACGTTACCCTAGAGATCTTAAGCTGAAACCTTGAATTATCTATAGCATAACTTCATCAAGGGTAAAATCAACAGGAAAATTAAGTGATACATATTAGGTATATACTTAAGATGCTTATCAATGACCATACCGTAAAGTTTCAGTTGAATTGTGGATACAGTGTAAATATTCTACCTGAGTCGATGTTTAAGAAGCTGTGTAAAGACCATGAACACCTGACAGTAGCTAATATGACATTAGTAATGTACAACAAGAGTGAGATGAAGTCATTTGGGAAAAGAAGAAAGACTGTTCGTAATCCAAGAAACAGGACAATGTACAGAATTGAGTTCGTAGTAGTGACAGGAACAGAACTGAACCCTATTTTTGAGTATCGGCGTGCAATCAATAAATCTAATCACACATTGTCGCACAGATTGGTGGAAAGTGTAGTTACACTAAAGAGCCTCTTACCAAGCAACATTTGAAACGACAGTATCCAACATAATTCGATGGACTTGGAAAGCTTGACGGAAAGTTACACCTTAGGATTAACACTACTGTGCAGCCAACAAAGATACACACCAGGAAAATGCCACTATCTCTCATGTATGATCTAAATAAAGAAAATGATTGGTTCCAGAAACTAGGAGTTATCTCTCCAGTAGCAACTGCAGCTGACTGGATATCATCCATGGTTGTAGCAAGGAAGTCAAATGGGGCTATAAGACTTTGTATTGATCCTAAACCCCTAAATGCAGTACTTCAGAGGAATTATTATCCCACTTCAACAATGGGAGATATGCTAATAGATTTAACGAAGGCCAGGATCCTCTCAGTGGTGCATGGACGCTTAAGACGGATTTTGGCATGTCCTGCTCGACAAGATCAGTAGTTTCCTAACCACATTTGGAACACCCTTGGGACGTTACCGTTGGTTGAGGATGCTTTTGGCATAGCACCATCACCTGAAGAATTTCAGAGGAGTAAAGATGAAGTACTTGAGGATTTGAATGGAACAAAAGCAATTTATGATGATATACTTGTGTATGGCTGCGGAGGCGCAGATAAAGATGAAGAGGCAATTAGAGACCATAATCAAAAGCTAATTGATTTGATGGACAGATGTAAACAGAAGAGCAGCAAACTGAACCTTAACAAACTGAAATTAGGACTTACATCAGTGTTTTACCTGGGACATGGTATTTCAAAGCAGGAACTGAGTGCTGATCCGAGTAAAGTACAAGCGATTAGAGATTTTTGACAGGTCAGCTTAGAGAAATAAGAATGATGACGTTTTCAACCTGGTAGGACCAAAGTGAGTACCAAACGCAAATTTATTTTCAGCGTTAATTAACACTAATCTTTTCAATTTGAATTCTTGTCATTCAATAAAGGAAAGAGTCGTTTGTTTTAAAAAAAATAATAAGTTTTAAGATAAATTAGTTTCTAATTTTGGTAAATTCTCCAGCATTATACTTATAAATATATGTAATTTTCTGAAGAATAGTTAAATGTTACAGTCTAGAAATAATTATATCTCGGAAACTTCAAAACTACTTCATTGGTATTTCTTATGTTGTACTGACAGTTAATTTTACTTTACAGTGATTTCAAAATCCTCCATGTAAATGATTATTTAATAAATTTTACGTTCATTTAAATAAATTTTTTTTTAATTTCATCATCGGAACGTATTTTGACATTTGTAATATATTTCAGACCAATTGTTAGACGTCTCTTTAAATATTAAGGTTCTCTTGTGAGTGTTACCGGTCGATTGATTGATTGATTGATTGTATATTGTTTAACGTCCCTCTCGAGAATTTTTCACTCATATGGAGACGTCACGGTATGCCTGTGAAGGGCTTCAAATATTGACCTTTACTCGGCACCCAGGACCATTGAACAGTGAGGGATCTTTATCGTGCCATCGCCTACCGCTGACACGGGGCCTCGGTTTTTAAGGTCTCGTCCGAAGGACTCCAACTTTCACTTCGAAGTGCCGAGCGCATGGCAAAGGAACCGTTGCTACCAATTTTAACGACTAGGTCAGTTGCGGCCGATATACGAACTCAGGACCTCCCAATCACAGAGCGAGCGCTCTACCGACTGAGCTACCGTGAACGGTGTTACCGTTCGAAAGCGGATCCTTATTCCAAACAACTGATCCAACCCCCTGGAAATTCACGGGGTCTTTGATTTATGCCCTGTTCACAATTGATACTGATGGCAAATTTTCATATATCGACCGTGTTTGATTTTTTTCTCATCTTTTCTTTACACACAATATCCTTTAACCCATGTATGTTACAAAAGACGATAAACATAGGTTTTTAAGATATTATTCATAATTTCTTGAATACTTTATTTGTAAAAATGTCAACTTTTACTCTGTGTTTTTTTTTACTGAAATCCCCGAGTAAAGTGTTCTTCATTACCTTTGATGGAACCTTTCAGAGTGGAAGTATTCTATTTTCCCTCTTTTGACTGATCAAGGTTATTTATTTCAGGATTATTTTAAAGTGTATAGAACCGTGTGTTATAACGTGAACTAGGCTCTGAACCCCGGAGGAGATTGAAAGTATCCGTGGTGTGTCGTAGTGACATGTAAATAACAAATAAGTACATGTACAAACATGTAAATTTGTTTTTATATTTTCACACCGTCATACAATCTTACCTAATATCCTTGTTACAGTGTAGTTATTTTATTTAATATTTTCCTAAAGTATATATTTGCAAATAGTATTTATTATTGTTATACAGTAGGATTAAATGAGTATTTTCTTTTTACGTTAACAATTTGATTATTTGCCGAATTAAGGAGCACTTTCATAGAGATATCATATTGATGTCGTGAGCAAAATAAATAAAAACGGAAAACTTAAAATCTTTCAATATAATCAGGAACTATGTTTACTCAATTTCAAATCACTCAGATAACTTTAATTAAAATGAAATTACATTTAGACACAGAAACAGCATACCTATAAAAAGTATGCACATTTATTTTTTATTGATTACAAATAGAGAAATAATGCCTTATCTTTGTGTCAGTTTTACCTGTTGGCCTTGATCGATGTGCGTTACGATTTGCCAGACATTACACAGTAAGGTCGCTTGCGTTTTAATTTTGATTAAGCTACGAAAATTCAGGCTTGAAAAGCAGAGTTTTTTTCTCTGATAACTGCAAAATCTCCACCTACCTATAAGTACATGTAAAAAAGAGAAATTTATTGATGTTTTGATATTCATTTGTTTTTCACAAAGAATGTATAGAAAAAAAAAATTTAAAACAATATTCGAAATAAAACTTTCAAAAGCGAAATTCATCTGTCACAACTTGAAAATAAAAATAAGATTTACTGAATGAACATTATTAGTTTTTTTCTTTTACACTAAATGTATAAGAAAGGTAAAACGTTATATTCGAAATGAGTGTGGATATTATGGCAAGCCCTTTTACTATTTATTCGTAAAATAAATTTTTCTTTCAATTTGAGAGATATCTCTTTAGCCTACAGAGATATCTCTTTAACTAATAGAGATATCTCTTTAAACAAAAGAGATATCTCTTTTTGATAGAGAGATATCTCTTTTTGTTAGAGATATATCTCTTTTTGTAAGAGAGATATCTTTATAAGCTAGAGAGATATCTCTTTCAGCGAGAGAGATATCTCTTAAAGTTAAAGAGATATCTCTTTAACAAGTTTAAAAGAGATATCTCTCTTAGTTAGATATCTCTATAGATTTTCAAAAAGAGATATCTTTCTAAGCTAAAGAGATATCTCTTTTCAAATCACCCTTAAAATAACATAATTAGTTCTCCCGTTGAAAACGAAAGCGAAACAGGAAGTAATGTTTGTTAAGTCGTTCGTTTTCTGATTATTGAAAAAGAAAAAGGAGAAAATGGATTGATTGATACAGGTAAACAACGTTTAATCGCTTTATTGTTTTAGTAAATTACGTACATACAGTACATACAAGCTATTCCAAATGGGTAACGAGCATTTTATAGCATAAAGTAAGTTGAAATTGCAAACTAAATTGTTCTCCAAAGATTGGTTCCATATATTGATTTCAGGCACAAAGCATCGTTTTTGAAAGGGGTCGGGGTGGGGGTGGGGGGCGCAACTAGAGAGATTTGTTTTTATTGTTACCAGTAAAAGTTGACCAAACTCGATAATCCTATTTCAGGAGGGGGGGGGGGTGGTGTTGTTCAAGATCAAATTCCTTTCACTTCCAATTTTTATTGCATAAAATACTACATTTCCATGATATCACTATACTGTTATTCTATACTGTGGTAAGAAGTGGGGGGGGGGGGAGCAACAAACCATTCAATGCACATTCTCTATAGAAGAGGTATTGTTGCGCCCCCACCCCCTCCTTCTTGTTGCTACGTGCCTGGATTTAGATCAAGGGGCAGCTGAAGTCAGGATATAGAATGCAAATTGAATTTAAACAAATGGGAAATGCATGTGACCAAATTCGTCAATCACGTGAATACAGGGTCGATTAAACATAATCCTGATAGAATGTTTTTCTTTAATTTGTTAATAGTTCAGAAATAAAATGTCCAACATTCCTTCTTTAATTTACACAGGGATGTATATACTCATTTTCAATATTAATCTGTAGGACGTTAAACAACACATATGTACAATCAATTTATATTAACTGTAAAGCCTTATGACCCCCTTCCAAAATACTAGTACTCTTACAATTAAGAGACAGACACAGCTAGAACAATTAAGCAGTGTCTTCCAACAGGCCCTCACTGGTTCCATAGGACATTCATCATTCTATGATGGAACATTTATCTACTTTTATTAACATATATATTTTACAGGGATCCAGGGGGTACCGAAAAAGGGACAATGCTTCGACTGAATGTGCCATTCGTTTACATGTACCAGTATAGATCTGTTACTGAGGCATATCCAATAATTCTTATACTCATGAAAAGTGTGGCAACTTCCAAGTATTGATGCTGGGACTCATTTTAAATCAGGTACAGGATAAATTTTTGGGCTGCACTTTTCTTTACTTCAATATTTCAATCTTACTAGTTCAGTATCAAGGTCACAAAAGCTCACACACCATGGTGATAAATCAATGGACCATAATTCTAGTTAAATTTGTCATTGCTTTCTTATTAAATCATCTATTTGAAATTTGACGGTAAAATACATTTGTTAACAAGTATAATTCTCCTACTGTTTGCCTAACATTACATCACAACGATTGAAAATATATGTTGATAGGTTCTCCACAAAAATTGCTATCTGTGCAGAATGTAACTTGTTTGCACATTTGTTTCAAAGAATGACATTTTCTTAACTATCCTTCAGTATATCAAGACAAATATTGGATACTTATTTAAATACACTATAAATAAACATCAAGAACAAATTTAAGGAAGTTTAATTTTTGTATATTTGGTAGTTACATGTGTAATTAGTAGTATATATATATATATATATATATATATATATATATATATATATATATATATAGGATGTACACAAGCATTTTATATCATTATTAACATTCAAGAAAGCATTCACTTAAATTTTTTGTAGAAGATGCTCACTTCTAGGATGTTTCCAAGTTCTTGTTAAAAGTGTTTTATATGGCACCATTCATCTACAAATATTTTGCCAGTCGAACTGTGACATCAATCAACTGCTCATGCACTGCTAATTGGCAGAGAATTTCCTTTGGGAGAAGCAAACTGTTTCAAACATTTTACACCTGCAAGTTAGTATTTATTCAATTTTGTTTGAAGGAAGCAACAGTGTAAAGGCTAATGATTACTGAAAATAAAAGCCAGTTGAAGTACAAATGTACACAAATGTTGATACAAGTCATTTGAATTTTTATTTCTTTGCAGGTAGTGATGAGTGTACTGGAAGGTTTTTACGATCTCTTCCAACATCATAGGTACAACTGGTCACTGTGCTTGCTTGGTTATATAAGCCGGCATATTGTTAAGGCAGTGACATATGTAGCTCCAAATGATGCTTGGGTCATGGGCAATCTTTGTGTGAAATGAGAACCTACCAAGTTTATCAATAAGATAGAAATGGACCGGACACAAATTATGAACTTTTTCTTCAAATGACATTGAACTTCCCGAAATGAAACCTTGGGCAAGGTCATGACACACCCTTGGGTCATGGGCAATCTTTGTACGGAGAAGTAGATTCTAAAGTCCCTACGTAAGAAAGATATGGACCGGACACATTTGCACAGACAGATGGACAGCTAGACAGATGGACAAGGGGGTATAAAAAACAGATATGTTTGTTTTACTCTGACCGACCTGTTAAAATGGCCCCTACCCATTAGCAATCATTTTTTGGGCACTTCAAAATTTTCAATTTTCCCCCGTTAAATTCCATAGATGTTTTAAAGATAAGGTATCAATTTTTTTAGGATGCTTTTCTATTTATGAACATAAAGTCTTTCTAGATAGTAATGAAAATATCAACAGATTTCTGAGTATAAGCATGGTTTCAAATATGACAGTTATCAATTTGTTCAATACTGTAAGGCAAAAGAAGAAAAAACCTATTGATACCTACCTACCAATCTTGATAAAAGTTGGTAGAACTACATCAAACAACAATTTTTAAAGATGGCCAATGTTGACTAGTATAATAGTCATCTTGTAAAAAAAATCCATACATGTATATATAATTATTATACATTTAATCTGTAAAAAAGGGTATTTTACCCTATTTTTATAGTGAGGTACTATGACAGTAAAGTTGAGTAAAGGGGTCTATGTCTAAAACCTTGAGGTGGGGTGAGAGTAAAGCATCCCTGGACATCACAGAATTTTTTGTCATTTTTTGATATGCTATGTCTTACAAAAAATAAATTTAATATTTGTCCTAGAACTTATTTTGTTGCATCAATTTCATACCTGTATTTGATTTGTATCAATTTGTTTTGGATGTTGATAATTTAGTCAGTATAGCCTTAGGAGCTGCGACTTTGGATCTCTTAGGAACTGCATCTTTTATCTGTGTTACTGCATGGTTCTCTTGTACCTCTGCTATAAAATAAGTTTTAATGCATACAATTGTTTAATATCAATGACTTAATTCAACAGACAGATTTGCTTAACCTCCCTCTCAAGAATTTTTCACTCATATGGAAACACCGGTGGAGAGCTGCAAATTTTGTCCTATGTTCGGCACTCAGGGCCATTAAGCAGGAAGGTATCTTTTTTGAGCCAATATCTACTGTGATATTGGGCCACGGTTTATACTGTATCATTCCAAGGACAAGTCTCCACATCCCACGGTGAGATTCAAACCCAAGACGTAAGGATCAACTCCTTACTTTGCAACTCTAGAGCAGACGCTCTAACCACTGTGCTATGCGGATGAATTTGAAAAGACAGAAAATTTCAAAATCCCTAAACCATGCTCTATAAATAGGGAACATACTCTCAGTCTTTAAAGTGAGAAATATGGTCATGTTAAGAGATCTGAAGTTTGTTAAATGCAGCTTTTGTAATAAATTTTTGACCTAAAGTATAATAATAACACAAGGTATCTAACTCCAAATTACAGGGAGTACCCTCTCCCTTAAAATCATGCTCATTTACACTTTAAGAGGAAATGCACGGGTAAACTTTTTACACCTATTTCTTCTATGATAATTTATCTACACATCCATATAATATGGCATGTTTGTCTCTATTTTCTTGTATCTCCGTAATCAGTGTCCAAACTCTGCTAGTTGGGTGGAAAGTCAAACTCAACCATAGAATGGTATGTACTAGTCTCGGGCAAAGAGCAAAATTAAACAAGAGGCCCATGGGCCACATCGCTCACCTGAGCACTAAGGGTAAGAAAAAGTACAAAATGACTTTTTATTGTAAAGATTAAATCCAAAAGTAGTCCCATGACCAATCGGATTTGTTATTTTTTAGCAAATGATTTTTAAAGAATTTTCCTATATATATCTTTAAAAACTTTGGTCGGCCATTTTGACCCCGCCCTACCCCTAGTGGTCATGATTGGAAAAAAAACTTGAATCTTCACTACCTGAGGATGCTTCCATATAAATAAGATGAATTATGGCTTTGTCATTCTTGAGAAGAAGATTTTTAAAGAATTTTCCTATATATCTCTATGTAAAACTTTGGTCGGCTATTTTGGCCCCACCCTACCCTCAGCGGGTCATGATTTGAACAAACTTGAATCCACACTACCTGAGCATGCTTCCATATAAATATGATGAATTATGGCTTTGTCATTCTTGAGAAAAAGATTTTTAAAGATTTTTTCCTATATATTTCTATATAAAACTTTGGTCGGCCATTTTGGCCCCGGCCTACCCCCGGGGGTCATGATTTGAACAAACTTGAATCCACACTATCTGAGCATGCTACCATATAAATATGATGAATTATGGCTTTGTCATTCTTGAGAAAAAGATTTTTAAAGAATTTTTCCTATATATTTCTATATAAAACTTTGGTTGGCCATTTTGGCCCCGCCCTATCCCGGGGGGTCATGATTTGAACAAACTTGAATCTAAACTACCTGAACATGCTGCCATATAAATATGATGAATTATGGCTTTGTCATTCTTGAGAAGAAGATTTTTAAAGAATTTTCCTATATATTTCTATGTAAAACTTTGGTCGGCCATTTTGGCCCCACCCTACCCCCGGGGGTCATGATTTGAACAAACTTGAATCCACACTACCTGAGCATGCTTACATATATATATGATGAATTATGGCTTTTGCATTCTTGAGAAGAAGATTTTTAAAGAATTTTCCTTATATATTATGTAAAACTTTGGTCGGCCATTTTGGCCCCGCTCTACCCCCAGGGGTCATGACTTGAACAAACTTAAATCTACACTACCTGAGGATGTTTCCCCATAAGTTTCATCTTTCCTGGCACAGTGGTTCTTGAGAAGAAGATTTTTTAAATATGCAACCAAATTTTCATTAATTCCCAATTATCTCCCCTTGAATGAGGACGTGGCCCTTCATTTGAACAAACCTGAATCCCAAGGATACTTTGTGGCAAGTTTGGTTGAAATTGGCCCAGCGGTTCTTGAGAAGAAGTCGAAAATGTGAAAAGTTTACAGACAGACGGACAGACGGACAGACAGACAGACGGACAGTCAGACGGACGCCGGACAAAATGTGATGAGAAAAGCTCACTTGAGCTTTCAGCTCAGGTGAGCTAAAAATCAGTGGTTTAAAAAATTCAATTCCATTGTTTAAATATTGAAGTGAGTAAATAGAACTTGTGTACGTCTAACTTTACCTGAAAACATTAAGATGTTTATCTGATGTAATTTTAGAAACAGATTTTTATCCAATCAAAATCTCTGTACGGGATCAGCACAAACCGTTCCATGAGTAAGTTTTCCACTCAGCGAGCTACCTTGAGTTATAACATGTATACTGATGGTTAAAAATTTAGTACTGAAACAAGTCCCTTTGGGCAAAAAATATGAACAGTAACTCTCGTGAAATACTCAAATAGATCTAAATAGATCTTAATGCACAAAAAGATAATCCACAGACATACGAAAGGTAAAACTTTACTGAAAAATAAGTATATAAAAAAAATATTTACCCAAACAAAAGGGATGCAGCCACAAGATGACGTTAGTACCCATCTAACACTGACAAAACTCCTCCTCTACAATCAGCTGATATAGACATTATCGTACTTGGATTCAAGAAAATTCTGTAAACAAATTAAGGCAAAAGATGATTATAAAACTATTTCATTCGGCTGAAAATAAAACACCTAATTTTCCTTCAAAATAAACAAGAAACGAATGACACTCTGATTTTTTTACCTGTACTTCGATCGAAATTTTCCTGGTGGACACTCGCTTCCAAATTTTTATGACATCGTAAGTCGATATACCATTCTATAGTGGATCAGTTATTGAAAAGGCTTCATCTCCTTTATTCAGTATTGGTGCAGTAAAGACTGCAAATTACATAAAAAGTGATTAGAAATTACATACAAAATGACTGACATAAAATGTTGACTATATTATGTATCATTTATGACCGAACCGAGTTTCCATACTTTTACTTTTATCAGCGATCTACTTCTAAACAATAAACACAAGAAAGTAGTAATAAATCGGCAAGAAATCATCACATTATCCTTATAAATATACATACTCGAGTATAACATACAGTGACTATATTAGTAGATGGTATAAATCTCCGAAAATGATCTGAATACAAACCACGTGCTTAGCCTTACACAAAAACCAGGTCTGACATGTTGACAATGCAAAAATAATACTTAAAATTGCTGAAACATTTGACATTACAAGGTTTGCGTTTTAACACATGATTTCTTAGATCTTAATATTATATCAAATGAAAGTATACTTAAACTATAGGGTTACAAAGTCACAATCCAATGTGCACGTGTAAAATATGGCGCTTGCCAAACTACGGGAAATAACTCTTGAAATAAACAAATCAAAAAGTTAACTCGTACATAGTTGATTCGGAGACATTACACATTCCGCTTTTAAAGTAAAACTATTTAACATTCCCCGAAAGCTTTGCGTAAACCAGAAGCATGCTAAAATCAATACACAAATCCATGTCAGGCATGTGTTAGGTACCCCCGGAAGTGAGGAACCCCGCAAGTTACGTGACAAGCACTTTCAGACGCTGGACCGAGTTTTCTCAGCATTTGAAATACTTCCGGTAAAGGGAGAAGTAATTTAAAATGGAATTTAAATAAAAATAATGAAGAGAGATATCTCTTTGCAATAAAGAGATATCTCTTTTTGCTTGAGAGATATCTCTTGAAGACACTTTTGAGAGATATCTCTTTCACTTTGAGAGATATCTCTTATGATAAACTTAGAGAGATATCTCTTTTACTTAAAGAGATATCTCTCAAAGTGAAAGAGATATCTCTCTAGGTGAAAAAGATATCTCTTTAGATGAAAGAGATATCTCTTTAACGTTCAAAGATATCTCTTTTCACGAAAGAGATATCTCTCAAGGAGAAAGAGATATCTCTTAAAGTAAAAGAGATATCTCTCTAAGTATAAGAGATATCTCTCTAACTTAAAGAGATATCTCTTTCTTATAGAGATATCTCTTAAAAATAAGAGATATCTCTTTCAGTTGGGAGATATCTCTATTTTTAAAGAGATATCTCTCTAAAATGAGAGATATCTCTGTAATTTGAAGATAAAATTTATTTTCCGAATAAATAGTAAAAGGGCGTGCCATAGGATATACTCGTATTTTAATTGATAATGTATTTTCTGCGAATAGTTAGGTAATTTTTAAATGAATAAAATAAATATATGGAGATAAAGGACAGTAAGATCAAGAGTTCTTAAAACAATACAAAGCAGGAGCAGGTGAAACATGGACCTCCAAAACATGAAGTAGGATCGGGTGCCATATGATAGAGAAGTGAGCATCCAAGGCTGCCGACCGGTCACACTTGCTGTTTACCCGCAATCAAGATCGGGAAAGAATAAGATAAATAGTGAAATAATTGACTTTTTTCTCCAGCCTTAAATGAAGAAAGCTATTTTTTTGCAGAGTTCCGTGTTTGATCTTCTTCAGTTTTGCTCTGTTTCAGTTCTGCTCGCCTTCAAGTTTGAATTAATTTTAAAGGACAAAAGATGCAAAAAATGATCTCTTGGTAAATACTTATTGACAGCTTGTGGTCATAAATTACGAGGAGCATTTGCAAAAAATATCAGATGTGTTTGTAGACAGATGGACATTATTGGACCCGATTTATCTGTACTTTTTTCTGAAAGCATTGGTATTATGATAGAAAAAGCAGTCATGGAATCATTGGAGTTTTTTGTTAAAATGTTCTCATGTTATTCCTGTTGATTGTATATATATGCCGACTATAAATAAAATTTACTTACTTACTTAATAGAATGTAGACTATTGTACATAGTCTATATAGTCTATAAAGTATGTAGTTTATAAAGTCGCCCTTGTACAAAGTATAGAATCCTCTCTTTCATGCGCTCTTGAACTTGTCAATAAATTTGATTTTTAAATATTCTGGTCTAAGACTCGTTGTATAAAAATGCCAGTATATCTCAACAGAATGTATGTATTTGTTAAGATTTTAATCTTCCTTTGTCATAGAAAACATTTACTGTATAAGATGACAGATATGGAGATAACGAACAGTGTTCAAGTTCAAGAGTCAATAAAACAAGACAAAATAGGAGCAGAGAAAACACGGACTTCCAAAACATCAGAGGTGAGATCAGGTGCCATCGAGAAGCTAGTATTTCCTGCCGACCAGCCACAACCGCCGTGTGCTCATTGTCATGCTCGGGAAATAACGGAAAAATCCATCGACAATTTATTGTATTAATAATAGACTAACAATTAGTATGAATTACGTCAGTCAGCATTTGATTCAATGACAAATTGTATTTGCTGAAAAGGTAATAGAACTTACAAAGTGATGAATTTATACAAACTGCTGATATTCTTGTTTCATCAACCTGTATGTCAATCATTAACCTCGTTCAATATTTTTTTCATACATACAGCATGCTCTTGTATCTCAACTCAACTTAGATATATAAACTCCGTACGCAGGTGATGAAGGTATATCGCTGCATAACTAAAGGAAGTTGTCGACAGAAAATGTTTATCAAAGAGCTTAATTCTTAGATTACCATTAACGTTTTTTTTTTTCAAGTAAAATATCCAAATATGAACCAGATGTCAGAATCTGTGGTCAAGCTCACCAGTATATTTCGTATGGATATAAGAATAGCAATTATCATTGTTAGTTGACAATAGGTGTACACTTTGTAACCTATTCTATAGATTCTGAACCACATGTTGTGATTCAACTCGATTTTTTATATAAGCTTAATGAAATAAAAAATAATAATTAGCATGTGGTCAAAAAGACGACAACTGCCGGCAAAGATACATAATGATGTCATTCATTTCTTTTTTTTTTTTTTCAAAAAATAACCCGTATGTCGATTCCTTTACCTAATCCTTTCCGATAAGAAAAGGCTTTTCAATTTTATTCCGAGCAAGAAAATGTCCAAGGGACCAAATATATTGTAATGATGTTTTAAGAATAAGTGTAAAGAAATTTTAAAAGGGGTTATGAATTACATGAATTTACAAACTTTTTAGTATTCAACACTTTTTTCCAATTCTTATATCAAAAATGATATCAAACCTTTTTGGTAAGGTATTTTCATGCCTTGGATGGGTAAAGTATGATAGAAGTTTCAGAGACCCTGTCGATGTCAGATCAACTATGGTATGATATCAATACTAAGATATCAAATCACTGTATATACTGATGGACATTGACTTAACAAAGATCTTAAACACTTTAACTATTTCTTTTGGCCTGATTGTAAGCCAATTACTTTACAAAATGTTGAGATGTGTGTGATACGTCAACCACTTTTACATAATTTCGCTGAGTCTTGTAAATTGTCAGAACCCTGTCCACAATCCTCTAACACTGAACCACCTTATCTTATCCTCCTTAAATAAATAAAATGTATGTTAAACAGTTTGATATGCTTTGCCTTTTTGTGACAGCTATTAATGTTTTGACATTCTGATATTATTAATAATATATTAACGACAACATTAAATTGATTTTTATAATCCAAATTCCTAATATTTGCAGCCCGGAGGACTGAGCTGCTTTATACGTAAAAGTTAAAGTTTTGGATATTGAACTGGAAGAAGTAATTCAGAATCAAAGATGAGCTATATATTTAAAAGGTTCTACATCAGAATGTCTATCCATATAGTACATCTTTAAAAATATTAATGTTTTTCATATTTATTATATAAAGTTGCCTATCATTTACTATAAAAAAACGACAGGTCCCTGTTATAGAATATCAAATTTTACTTATCGCATCAAAACATACGTTACACATTTTGTGTTTCACAATAATGTAGTCAAAAGCATTTTTGAAAATAGATGATACATGAGTTTGATTTTTATTAATATTTTATGCAGCCAACAATTAATTAAGGAATAATTAAATTTAAAAGGGTATCGTTTTTGTTCAATTCTCATCCAACCAGGAAGCTTTTTAAATCTTCTGTTCTCTCGTCTCAATCAGATGCATGTCTTTATCACGCATATTGAAGCAGTTTGATGATCAAGACTCATTTCCATTATTTATTTTAGTTACTTCTCGGTCGACAATGGGTGAGTACATCAATGTTTTTTGTTACAACTTAGACATAATTAAAAAATCATAAAAATCAGTTTAAAAAAAGGCTAAAATGAAAAATAAAAATCAAAATATATGGCAGCGATGGGTCGGGAGGAGGTAAATAACAAACTTAAAAACATCCGTCCGGCAAGGTTGTAGTTGAGAGAAGAGGTAGAGTGACTCTCCGCGGGTACAGAATCTTTTATTTCACAGTTTTCATTGGTCAATATCTACCTCTCCCAAGTCATGATAAAAACTGAGCATTATTAATCAATATTTCAGATTTTAAGATTAACGGAGGACAATAATTGATTACAATAAGTAAACCTAAATTAATTCAAATCTTTTGATAAATTTAAAAGCAAGGAATTTTTAAGATACTACAAACTTCCGACTATTCATGGGGTTTAATAAAGAAATCAATCACAAATTTAAAATTGACAGATTTATTATGAAAAGAATTTAATGATCTGGCTATGTTTGAAAAGGAGATGTTTTTCTCTCTGCACTATTTTGAAATGTTGATAAAATTTATTAAACAAGGGAATATACAATGTATATAATATTCAACGTTTGTACGTTTGGTGAAATCTGGAATCCCCCACCTTGTCACTATTCATTGAATCTTAACATACAATACCTAGCCTATAAAACGGCAATTAGAAGGAACTCTGTGACCTTAATATATTTTCAAAGAAACATTAATTCTCGCTAGAGAACCAAACCTATTTCTTTGTATAATTATTATCCCATCCAACGTTTTCATTACACCTGTATGTTTCAATGTATACAACAAAGAGATGTTACCACAATTATCTATTTTCACAACAATCTGCTGTTTTTAAATGTAATATTTTTTTCAAACATGCCCCAAGTTCAGCCCACTAAACTAAATCTGGTATCAAAACTGGATTTACAGTACTAGTAACTAGATTAGTTAATTTATAGACGTGCTTATCGTAGGATTTTTCTTTTAATTGACTTTTCAATTTTCTTAAAGAAAGTGAAATAATTAGAGAAGCAAAACATTTCCATAATAAGGTAACCTTAGTTGTGTCTTCTATGTTCTTTAGTTTGTCATAATCTAGGCGGTAAAAGCTGTTCAGATTTGATGTCTGTTGTTGTTTTACCCGAATTTTAATCAATATTTTCTATTAAATAAATGAATATGTAGTTATTGAGTGACTGTTCTGAGTACAAAATCAAGAAGGAAGTAAAAGAAAGCATCTACAAAAAAAAAAAGAAAAAAAAAAAAAAAAAGAAATAGCTAAATATGTTTTGTCTAAAATGTTCTGTGCTATGTTTTAGACATATGTTTCAGCATTAAGGGTATTTTATTTTATGTAAATTTTGTGTTCCGTTTATTTTTTTTAATATTAAGATTGATTTGTTTATTACAGTAACTTACTACGTAATACCTCATATGATATATTCATTTTCATCCTAGTAAATAAATGAAATACGTTCAATATTGTCAATGTTTTGAAAGCTTTATTTTCTTAAGTTTATTATTGAGGAAATGGTTATACATGTATATTCACAACCAAAATAAGATCATGTAAATTTTCATCACGCTGTGCATCATGCATAGGTAAGTGGGACATTTAAAATATATTCTTTAAATAAAAATGAATGTGAAGCTACTGGCAGACTGTTCTGATTACAAGACCAAGAAGGAAGAATAAGAAAACATCGAGAAAAATAATGAAGCTGAATTTTCTCTGAAGAATCTATGCTATGTGCAAGACATGGGGTTCACCATTGAGATTATTTTATGTTATGAATACTTTGTGTTTCGCCTTATTTTTTAAAAGATCAAAACTGGTTTTTTTTAAATTAGTTAATACGTACCAATTTTTTTGAAAAAAAAAATCATCTTAAATACAGTGAGAACAATTTGTTTCGAAATTTTCAAAGTTTTTTTTCCTTTGTCATTGATTAAAGAGACAATGTGAAGCACAAAGGGTAAAATTGACAAATGTAGAATTTTTACATGACCCGAGAAAATTTTGTTCAATTGCTAAAAGTATAAGATTTCGAAACCCTAAAATGCTAATGTTAAAGAGAAAAATAAAAGTAAAAATAACTTCAGTATATCCTAGACCGAAAATAATACTTAAAGTCAAGATCTAGTAAATAATTTGAGACTTATTTTTGGGTGCTAGATCCATTATGACGTCATAATCAATTTCAACTTTCTTTTTCCCGTTCTTTACGGCTTTAGCAGAGTTACGTAGAAAATAAAGTATATTCAAGTCATCCAATTCAAAATCATATGAAAAGTAAACCGGATACATATATTAAATTTGATATTGATTTAAAGAAGAGGCCATGAACATACTAATTTCCATTTTCTGAGAGACTGTAGGTAATTTGGATACATTTCCTTTGCCGAATACGAAAAAAACTCCCATTTTCATGACCTGTTTTCTTAATTTTTCATTAAAAATGACAGTTAAAAATACAGTTTTTCATCTTGTTTACCTAAAAATTATGCCCCGAAACACCTTATTTTGACCAAGCTAAAGTTGAAAAGCATCAATAAATGAATTTATTTCTCAAATTTGATAAATCTGTAGGCACCTTTCATTTACTAGATCTTGACCTTAAGGAAGCTCTAAACACTAACAGAAACTGTTTTGTAGACTTAGAGAAAAATATATCATATAAAGATATGCATATTTAGACATTTTCATTCATTTATAACATACGGTACGTGCCTTATGCCCCGAACGCATTAAACGTAAAGTTACTGCGAATTAGCTTCGCTTAGCGTTCACAGGGAGAATTTAATGCGAATTAGTTTACTTCGAATTAGTTTACTGCGCATTAAATTACTTGGCATTACCTCCATGTGAACGCTAAGCGGATTTAATTCGTATTAAATTATGACGCATGCGTAATGGCAAAATTTAGTCAAATACCACCTGTAGATGGTTAGCTATAGGTACTTGTGCTATTTTTGAGTGAAAAACTAAGGAAAATTTTGTTAATCATAAAATGTGTGTACAGACACTGTGACATTATGTCAAATGGATATGCTTCTGCAGAAGGTGACGTGATTTGCAAATTACGTCATGATAGCCGTGCTGACGCAAGGCTGCAGAAGTAAAATTTTAACTCGCATTAGTTTACTTCGCATTAGCTGTCATGTGAACGCAATTTAATTCGAATTAGTTTATTTCGCATTAATTCTGCGAATTAAACTCTCCGTGTGAACAAGGCATTATTTGCGCAGGAAAAATGTTCAAAGACAATGGACTATTTTTGAGCAGAAATCACGGTTCTTTAATAAGACGGGGAAAACTATTGAAAATAATTATTTAAATTTCTTACTCTTGGTCTCATATAATGCTAAAATATTTTGCTCTATTACAAATCATGTAATTAACTGTAAATAACAATTTCTGTAAACTTAAATCTAAGGTAAGGTAACTCTATCTGCACAAAACCACCCAGTTAATAGAGCTCTTGAGTGTGCAGTATTAAGAGCGTCCTTAATTCTTCATCCTCCCAATGCACATGCGCAGAAAAGTTGAATTAGTTTTCATAGTTTCCATAGTTTCCATAGTTTCCATAGTCTCAATTACATACAATGAATGTAAGTAGACCAAAGAATGCAATCTTTTAAAAAAGTATTAAAACATATTTATCACCTTTGCATATTCCAGTTGTATGTTGTTTACAAGTTTGGGCTAAAATAAGAGTGGCCTGACCTTGACAAACACGAAAACAACGAAACGGTAGATAAAACCTTTGTTTTCCGACACTTACATTTCTCGCAAAGTAATTGTCATATCTTAGCTAAATACTCGTAATTTTGATAATTCTTTCGACCTATGCTACAGATATCTGAAAAGAAACCATGATTTTGACTGATATAGTCACTTTAAATAATAATGTCTAGGAATAATTCATCCGAAATATGGCTGAAAAATTGTCGACTCGGCGTTAAACAAAATACAACCAATCAATCTAAGAATAAGTCCCGTGATTTTATCTCCAAGGTGTGCACCATACACATGTAAGTGGGACATTTAAAAATCAGGTGAACGTCATCATTGAACGCCATTGTATATATGGGAAATACCTCACTACGAGATGATGGAAAACATCTGTAGAGAATATATTAAGAGACGTAGAGAAGCATTATTGTGGTGAATAGTTACCAAGAAATGTATTTTAAAATATTGTCTTTGAAATTATCATTTCAAAAGAGAAACAAAAATTTACTTTCGGTTTTATTATTCATTGCATGTACACATTGGCCATTTTAGAGAGAGAAATTCAATATTCAAAAGAATAATTAGACGCTCGCTGCCTATTGCAATATATATTGTTAATATAGTAATAAAGGTATGCTTTGCCCTTGAAATAGTTGTTAAAATATCCACAAGAAGGGGCTGCGACACAGAGTGTTTGTGTTTAAAAAAAACTCCTAAGGTTAAATAAACTCTTTCTACTGTTTAATTATAAGGATAATGGATTTTGTGATTTCTTTTAAGATAATGTATTTCATCCTAGTTTTATTTTCGAACCTCTTCTCATGGTATCCGAAGTATATGTCTCATTTTGGTATCAATTCATTCTGAAAAAAAAATTACGTGCTGCATTAATTTATAATTAAAATGAAATGGCGATACGTGTTTTAAAGTTCTTTTTTCTCTATCTCTCTCGAGCTCTTAACTAGGTTGTAAGGGAAATTAGACAAGGAAATCATTAATGTTGTTTAAAATGCATAACATTTCGTTGTAGAAAATTGTTTCCTTTTTAAGATCACCTGAGCCGAAGGCTCAAGTGAGCTTTTGTAATCAGAATTTGTCCGTTGTTTATTTGGTTGTTTTTGTTGTAAACTTTTCATATTTTCATCTTCTTCTCAAGAACCATCTGACCAATTTCAACCAAACTTACTACAAAGTATCCTTGGTAAAAGGGGATTCAAATTTGTTCAAATGAGGGACCACGCCCGTTTCCAAGGGGAGATAATTATGAATAAGAGAAAAATGAATGGCATTTTAAAAAAAAAAAATCTGCGTCTCAAGAACCACTGGGTCAGGAAAAATGAAATTCATGTTGTATCATCCTCAGATAGTGAAGATTCAAGTTTGTTCAAACCATGACCCCCGGGACTAGGGTGGGGACAAAATGGCCGATCAAACTTTTACATAGGAATATATAGGAAAAATCTTTAAAAATCTTGTTCTCAACAACCATTGAGAGAGGAAAGATGAGACTCATGTAAAATTATCATCAGATGGTATAGATTCAAATTTGTTTAAATCATGACCCCCGGCGTTAGGATGGGGCCAAAATTGCCGACCAAAGATTTACATAGGAATATAAAGGGAAACCTTTTAAAATTTTCTTTACAAGTACTTCAAAGCCCTGATTAGTGATATTTATATGGGATCATCCTCAGATAGTGTAGATTCTAGTTTGTTCGAATCATGGGCCACTGGAGGGTCAAGATTCAAGCCCTACTCCCAACCTCAGTGAACTTTCAGTTCTGATCTGATGTGCTTTTTGCTAGCTGATGTGCCTAGGTGAACACTGTGGCCCTGGGCTTCTTGTTTTTTTTTTTATACAATAACATCACTTAGGTATTGAATACAAACATAAATCGATAAAAAAAAATTGCATGCACATATTTAAAGGCAGACGGGACATTTCGTAGTCACATTCAGTCAAAATACAAAAGATTAACAATATAAATAAAATAAATCATCAAAATACTAATAAGACTCAAATTTCTGCACATTTTATTTTTAGGAATTGTTTGTAGCTCTTATAACAGCTATGGACAAAACAGTCGAAGATTGTCCGAGAAACCTGACAGAGACAGTGGAAGCCTCTACACGACTGGGCTGTGGTCGTGACAAGTATGGAAATGATCAGTATATGTGTCTCCCTAACTTAGAGACAACAAGCCTGGTAGAATTCTGTCACAATGGTATCATGGGCTTTATAGAAAGTGGTGAGGGTTATTTTCGGAAATTCTATTTATATCTACAGTTTTAATAGGGACTATTTTAAATTACGAAAATTGCACCCTTTGATGTCAAATTAAATATAACTTAGGTGCGTTGTCAAGAGTGACATAACAAAAAAGGAAATCCAGGTGCGCCTTTAACATGTCCACAAAAACAATAGATCAGCCTTTTGAATGCAATACTGTATGGAGGCTTATTTTTGTGTTGTTTTATTTTCGCCATTCAACTTTTGCTTATAATGTTGATACGTTTCAGTATCGCCAAGGTAAAATATTGGCCACGGGTTTACAATGGTAAACAGTATTATGTACAGCTTATGAACAAAAAGGATTTTTTTTCAAATAAATTTTATATCAATAGAGCATTTAACCAAGGAAAATGTAAATCTTTTTTTTTTTGGCAAGTAATTTGAGTTTATCCTGAAATTAATCCTTTTAAACTTTTGAATTATATATCTTTTAATTCTTTTCAGGTAATTGTCTGAAGACTGCAGAGGATAAACTGTTTACACACAATTGTTCCCATTTTGTTTCGGGCTGTCCAGATGTAGACTTCAGCAGTAACGAAATCTACAAATGTAAGGATTATTTTCTTTCCAATATTTAGAAAAAGTGATATCTTAAGACAATTGTTTGAATTATGATCTTATTTGCTCATGTGATTTTATAATACAACGTATCTTATTAATATTGATTGTCTTCAGACCCTGCTTGCCAAAACATCAGTACAAAATATAGTTGTTATCTAGCTGATCCATCATGTACAACTGCGTAAGTAATTGATATTTATTTTTTAATTTGAATTCATGCTGCATGTAGTCAGTATATGCAAATAAATCTTATCTTTATCAAATAGCACATTGGATATATCTACTGAAGAATCACCAGAAGGTTTTTTCTCCAAAAGTACAACAATTCATAGAGTTTACAACACAACAGCGATAGAAATTCAAACAACCACATTACCAGAACATGACACTACACATATCCGGGTAATCTTTGGAAGTTTGGCAGCAGCTGCTGCTGTGTTATTCATTGTTATTCTGCTAATAGGATGGGTTGTGAGGAAGAGAAAACATAGACAGAAAGGAAAAGAAGAAAATAAAATTTCGAGTATGTCTTGTTTTTACTCTTCTATATATGCATTACCGGTAAACTTTGTAATACGTTTAGCTTGTTTTATATGTTCATTTTTATGCAAGATAAATTATTATTAAAGTTTTCTGTCATTTTATGCAGTTAGAAAGTTTAACAAACAGTTAAAGAATTTGAATACCTATTATATGTATTATGTGATTTTTAGAAGACGAAAGTGAAAATCTGCTGCCAAAAGAAGACGGAGTTATAAGTATGTTTAGTTAAAATTCGAATTATTCTTTTTTTTTGTTTTTCGATATTGTTTAGAATGGGATCTATAATATTGAATAACGTTGAATAATTTCTGTAAATATTCACCCCATAACAGGAGTGGAATACTAAATAATACATTTAGATAAAAAAGTAATCAAGGAATAGAACTTAAAAAAGTAAAAAGACATTGAAAAATTTCCTTAACTAAGGGACAATGCAGAAAAAAAGAATGTACCTTTAAAAATCTACAAAAAATGGAAAACACAGTTTCACAGAGTTTGATAGTAAGAATGCAAAAGAAGACAGAAAACATTTTAATTTAGAAATTGATGTTTCTGATGAACCAGGAGAGAAAAGGGATTGTGACACAGAGACTAGCTTCAATCGTGAAACAGTGGATGAAGAGAACCCGATATGTGTGACAGGAATAAAATGTAAACCCGAAGAGAGAGATAAAGAAGAATCTGGTGTCAAAAGTGAACCACAGAAAATAAAAAAAATCAAAGAGTATTCACAAATACAAAGTAAGTAAGAATTTATGTTGATGGACAATTCTTTATTTTAGTTTAAAATAAGTAGTAGTAAAACGTATATTTAATTAATCTTGAAATTTTGTTATTTAGAAACTATTTGATTCGTATATTAGTTAACAAGAATGTAATCTAACTAATATCCATAGTTCACTTTCTAATCTAAGATGAAATATATGGAGATGACTAACAATATTAAGGTTCAAATGTTCACAATAAAAATTGAAGCACAACAACCAAGGGCCTCTTAAAAATCCAATTAGAAATTCGGTGCCATGTAGGAGTGAATATCCCCCTGCCGGTATGTCACACCTGTCGCGTGCTACTTGACATGATAGGGAAATAACGGGAAATAATCATTTGACAATCAATGCAGGGCTAATTACCAGTCTAAACAGTTAGTTGGCACTTGACTTAATGATAAATAGCATTTGCTGCCAAAGTCATTGGTTCCATCAAAGTACTTATGAAATGATGCTTTTAAACGAGACCGCCGATATTCAACTTGCTCGCCAATAGTTTACCTCCTTTTTGGAAAAATGTTCATGCGTAGACCATAGTCTTCTGTATCGAATCAACTGAGAGCTATAAATGCATGTGTTAGGTATATTGCTGCATTAGTACATGTAAGTTGACTTTTGAAAAGTTGAAGTCATCACCTTTATCATGAAGCTTTTTTGTTAGATAACGTCTTGGTCTTTTAAAGGATTCAAATATGAAACAGATCTGCTAAACTTTTTGGAATCTTTATTTCAAGTTCACCGGGATGCATCGTGTCGTCAAAAAATTGAAATTAACTACTGCTAATACTTGATATCGCGATTACTTAACTTAGCGGAACTCTTTCGCGATGGAGGTAGGAAACGTCTGTTGGCTGGGGGCAAATGTGCGATTTCATACAATGCAAGATCGATCATTGTAGAATTTATAAGAACAGATAAGCAAAAAATCCTGGTGGAATACCTTGCTATACAATCGCTGAAGCAGCCATCAATTTTAGAGAGGAGCTAATCCTAAAATGTTACATTTAAATAATGGCATCAGGATTATTTATTCGTAGATTTTTTTCTATTAAGGTTTAAGGAATTCAACAGTAATTTGATCTTAAAAAAATTCCAGAAACAGGACAAATATGTGATTATTTGACCGGTCACATCCGTGCTGATACCTCTTTTTTGATTAAGCAATCCTCTTTATCTGTCCGAATTTTCTCCAACAGAGAGTTATATTCTGCAGCTACCAAAGTATGACCCAAAGATAGGCTTTATTGTTTAGCAAGGTCATTATAAATACCATAAAATTTACGAAATGCTGACTTTGAGCAAGGCTTAAGTAATCATTGTTATATCAATTTATCAGTGGATAACCTGCCTTGCTTTAAAAGTACATTTATGAGTAGGTAATAATTTGAGAGTGCAAGCTGCAGGAAAAAGTGAAATATTTCTACATAAATACAGAAAAATAACGTTTGGAAATCAAAAGGTACCTGGTTTGTCATACAATTTAGTTGTTAATTCTATTTGTTTATATCTTTATTAGTTTGTCTATCCATAACTTATTATATTTTTGATCTCACCCGAAAGGAACAAAACCATTAACTTTATCGATAAAACTTACTCGTCCATGTATTAAATTCCGTACAGGCATTCCTGGCATACTCTAATGTCTATTTTAAACGTTAAGGTTGGCGGCATAATTCAGAATTTAAAAGAACCAATATTTTTACCGTACGGTTACCTGAGGAAGGGGAGTGGTCTAAGTAAAAGTGGTGTTATTTACCTGGAGACCCTCAATACTCAAAATGTCAAAAATCTGTGTATAAGTAGTATTACACAGGAAGTCTTTGTTTGGTAATCAGAGTCAACATTACGTGTTTTGCGTCTAATTTTGGGTGAAACTATAACTAAATAATTATTTTAATATGAAATTTATTTGTAAACTAAACGCATTTTACGTAATGCTTTGAAGGGAAAAAAAAATATATCGTTTTATAAAATGTTTTCGTTCAATTCAAGAAAAATTCATGAGTAAAACCTACAAAGAAATAACTTTTTCTTTAATCTTGAAAAAAAAAGAATTCACCATGATTAAAAAAAGTCTGAATGGTGAAATGAATAAATAATTAAATCATTTATCCGTCGTGCATGTGAACATTTACCGCCATCGGATTTTTTTTTTATTTTCTGGCCAACAATGTCCAAAACATTCAATATTTTCGAAAAGAAAAATAGAAATATTTCTCTTCAGAATCGATCACTATCAATTCTCTTCACCTTTTCGAATATAGACATGCAGAGCCTATAGAGGAAATTAGAGCATTAAATCTGGCATAAATTTCTACATAACATCGTGAAGATTGTAGCCATTATACAAAATAAAACATCTTTTGTAAACACTGCTAATAATAATGAATATTTTTCTTATAATTTCATTTCTTAAAAAATAATTTAATCGTCGGACGCCCAATTACGGCAAATAGAGCAGGTTTCTGTGGACGGTATTTTTCACAGGTATCGTGGACGATATAACACTTAAAAGTAACAAACAGCAGTGAAGATAGAAAAGAAATATCTTATGATGTCAATGCTTTAATAATATACGTACTCTCAATTATGTTTTTGAAATAAAATTCAAACAAATGGAGTTTTCTAACCTGCGTGTATACAAGGCGGGTACATGAAAGAATTTGGCGTGCGACAAGGCAATTGTCTTCAAAACATGTAAACTCAGATTATCAGGTAGCACTGTTACCTGATCTGTCAATCAAATCAGAATCTATTGTTTTTTAATGATTGACAGGCGGTAAATCATTGATCTTGAATCAAGTAGATTTTGGGGGCAGTAACATAAAACTTTTAAATGTTGTATTGATGTAGTTTCTTGATTATTCATTGTAACATTTTCTCTTGCAGTTGAAAAACACGTGGGTGAGTACAACTTGTGGAGGACAAAGATATCAGGTGAGTAACAAATGTATACGTTATGGATAAACTTGCATTAATAAAGTGAGACTGTAAACCAACCTTTATACGTTTGTGAGAAATATCCATAAGTTTTGCCACCTACTTTTACTTGCAAATATCAATTGCAGCGGACACTTTATGTTGCTTTGTATTCGTACATGATGTTTCCTCAATCGTGGATTGATTTTTTTCTGTCGAACCGCAAATAAAAAGATGACTCAAATAATAGTTGGTTAAAAGTTACTGAAATATTAATAAAACTTTAATCGTCAAATTTTAAGCTTATATTGTGGACCTTCTTCAACAAAATATTCAGGCAGTTTGAATTTGAAACAAAATGCACCATGTTTATCTGTAGCAGAACTGAGATGAATAAATTTAAGCTAATCCTTTATGTTACTTTTTAATTGTTTTTTTATAACCATTTAAACTTGGTCTTATTTTTTCTTTAATTGAACTACATCCTTCTGTCTTCCCATTGGTGTACTGTTTGTTTTTTCTCTTGTGTATCCTAATATGGGTCTTAATTTTTTATTTAAAGGCAATAGACCATATATGAAAAGTTTAAGTAACTCTAGTTATTGAAGGTAAAATTTAAAAAAGAATATATATATACATGTGACAAGATTTCCCTACACTTCACTATACACAGTGTTACCTGAAAGTGTCACGATATTTATGCCCCGCTATGAATATGGCCGGTGCATATAGTGTTTGTCATGTCCATCTTCCGTCTTTCCGTCCTTCCGTCACACTTTGCCTTTAGCTCAGTTAAAAGCTCAGTTTATTGACAAGCAAGTTGATGAAACAAGAATATCAACAGTCTCGTTTAAAGTCATCATTTCGTAAATTCTATGGTCGATACAATAACCTTGTCAGCAAATACAATTTATCATTGAATAAAATGCTGACTAACGTTTTTCATACCAATTGTTAGTCCATTATTTATACACTGAATTGACCACGGATTTTTTCCGTTATTTCCTGATTATGACAACGAGCACACGGCGGGTGTGACCGGTCGGCAGGGGATGCTCACTCCTCCATGGCACCTGATCCCACCTCTGATGTTTCGGAGGTCCGTGTTTGCTCTGCTCTTATTTTGTATATTTGTTTAATGGACGTTGAGATTGAATACTGTTCGTTATTTCCATATCCTTCTTTCAAAGAAACTGTCAAAGATATTTTCATCAAACTTTATAGGCTCATAGATATTGATGAGAGCTACAATGTATGCAACTGCATCATTTTTTGACCTTGACCCTTCCTTTGATCTTGACATCACTTTCCTTAAAAAAGTGTTTAACTCAGTTTTAACATACCTTTCAAGATTGTGTTATCAAACTTCACATGTTGTTACATACTGATGAGAGCTATGCAACTTCAACATGTTTTTACCTTGCCCTTTCATTTTACCTTGACATAACGTTTATCAAATTGTGTTTTAGTCAGTTTTAAAGAAACCATTCAAGATATTTTTTTATAAAACTTCATATCTTGATACAAAATTGAAGAGAGATATTAAACTGCATCAACATGTTTTACCATGATTTTCCTTTCCTTTGACCTTGACCTCACTTTCCCTAAACCAGTGTCAAACTTCATACTCTGATACATCAAGGTTCTCCACGAGTTGTTTTACAGTGTTGCTCCCGACACAGTAATTTTTTTGCGACACACTAAGAGGTTTTGCACGATGTTGATGACGTTTGACGTTACGCTTTCAGAGTGCTTCAAAACTACTTTTCTCTTGTTAACAACAAATTAAAAACGCCCGTGAAATAGTTTCTAATGTTTGCATTTTGTTCATAAGAAGACTTTATTTTTATTTTGCATGCCAATGACATGATCATAGATTGACCTGAACCACATGTTTGACATAACATGTAAACATGTATTTGGCATAAACGTATTCAATCTAAAATTGGACAGTTGCTCGTGGTAAGACCCTTCGTGCGCATTAATAACAAAAGCCATATAAGGCAAATAAAGGTTTGTCGGTGTAGATGATATTACACTTTTTTCCAGCGC